AGGGTGAGACAAGGCATGCAAGTGGGAGGCCCGACAAAATGTGGGATCTATTGGATTTGTGGGACTGTCATTGGTGGAAGTCGCATGCATGACTAAGGGAGACAATTGATCGTGGGCACGATTGCGCACATTGAGACATTTAAGACCAAGCCAAGAATGGCTTGGCATATTGGCACAGACATGGTATCATTTGTGGACAAATAAGGGTGGCATTGGCCAACTTTACAAACAGTTGTGGACAATTGGCATGGACAATTGGCGGTTGAATCATGAGGTAGTTAGGGGAAACAACTACTCCGGCAAGTTGGGGACGACTCTGATAATTGTTATAGATGACCTAGTAGTATGTAAGAAAACTACCCTGAACCCTTGTGACAAGATCTATAATTTGCCAGTGCACCTAATAGTTGGGAATGTCAACTGCATGAACCATCCCCTACCACCTCAGATTTGAAGCCACCACACCGAACCTATTTATATACCAATCTTAATTTTGCAAACCAAATGGGACCATTGTGGTTTTGTCGTGGTGGGTGGAGATATTGGTGTGTGCTCGCGCGAGAGGGAGAGAGAGAGAGAGAAGTTGTTGGTGGAAACAACAGTTCCTATTAGAGGGATAAGATGGTTTTTTGTCAAAAGGAAAAAGGGAAAAAGAGATCCGACATTGAGATAAGGCAAAAGCTCATCTGATCAAGGTCAATTTTGGGTCTTTCAATGCATCTGAGATCATGTGATTCCATGTGACTAATTTTTGTTAGTTGTGACTGACGAAATTGACAGCATGAGTTAGTTGAATTTTTTTTAAACTTTTACGGGTAATTTGTGCAAATTAAAATCAGCGGGAGTTGATTGTAACATAACCCAAACTTGAAGGGTGTATTTTATAATTAACACTAAAAAAAATACAAAACTGCAAAATTGTACTTCACAGTTTAATTGTCTCTTGCTTCTTTTTTTTTGGTGCTTTGGAGGGAACCTCAGTCACCTGAGTTCCTGTATAAAACAAAAACTACAAAGATCAGCATTCATTAATGACGCCATACAAACAGGGGGAACAACTAAATCCACGAAATCTTCATCCTGGCTAACTCCAAGATTAGCAAGATGTTCTGCACACTGATTCCCTTCCCTTCAAGAGTGTGCAAAATTCTGATATTGCAGGATGCCTTTAACTCCCTTGTCCTAGATCATTTGGAGACATATATAAGCTGCCAAGAGTTCCTTCATAATTGCCCTCAAGTACAAATGCCTTTTAAGTGTCTAAGCCCTTTATAATTGCCTCTTGCAATGTATCCATCCCATATATATTGACTGTGTCTGCAATAGAGAAATAGAAATTAAAGGAGAGAGAGAAAGAGAGAGAGAGCTCAATTACTGCTCTGGAAGTTGCCTATTCTTTGGCCCTCCAAGGAGGAATTTCTGGTTCCACCTCTCCAGTTGTAATGTTGCTTCAAGAAATAGCTTCCTTCTTGGGGGTTGTTTGATAACAACACTTAAAAGACATAAAATTGAATACTTTTAACAATTAATAAATTAAATTTGTTTGATAACTTAAAATTCATACTACTTAATATTTTAAACATTTTTTAAAGATAGGCTAAAATTTTTAAGTAGCAAGTCACATACTTATTACTTAATGCTAAAAACGTTAGTTAGTAAGGATTTTATCAATTTCTCATAATAGACAAATATACTCCCACCACCGTCACTGCCATCACCACCACTATTGTGTCACTGTCATCACCACCACCACTATCATTGTTGTCACCACTATCATTGTGCCACCATCACCACCAACACTATCACCATTGTTGCCACCACCTCTACCACCATCACCACCATTGTCGCCGTCACCACCACTACTATTATGTCACCGTCACCACTACCATTGTATCATCGTCGCTGCCACCACCACAACCACTATCGCTGCCGCCACCACCACCACTACCATCGTTACCACCACCACCACCACCACCACCGTCGCACTACTACCGCCATTGTGATGGTAGTGATAGGAATAAAACAGTTGTAGAGAGATGGTTAGAGAAAATGACAAAATTAGAATAATACTAATTTTTAGATATGTCAAATAGTTTGATTAAATTCAATACTTAAATTCAGTTGATATCAAATAGTCTGCGAATTAAAAAATTCATCATTCAGCAATTAAAATTCAACATTCAATTTTCAGTGTTCACCTTTCAATTTTATCAAACACCGCCTTAATAAAACAATAAATCCCAAAAAAAAGACCGTATGTATAAGTCCAATCAGATGGTCTGATAGAGGGACGGACAATACCACTACGTCTCAGATTAAGTCAAAATTGATTCGATGGACCAAAATATTTTTTTGAATAAGTTTCCGTATCCAGCCCATCAACCATGTCTTTTTAATGTGGGTTATTCATTTTTTGAATAAACTTATAAATATATTGGGTAGGATTTTGATAAAGTATAAAATAACATTTATGGGATTCAAAACCTAAGAGAGTATCCTACCACTTATAAAACTATAAGAATGTGTCAGATTATTTCAAAATTAATCCGATAGACGAAAATACCTCCTATAATTTTTACTTTTCGGTTCGTAAGTTCTCATATCTAGCCCATCAACCACTTACTTTTAATGTGGTTTTTTTCATTTTTGGATTGAATGAATATTGAGTGGGATTTTGATAGCGTGTAGCATGACATATCAAAGTTAATATCCTCACCTTATCCAAGATACTAGTTTCAAGTTTCAACCTCTAAAGCCTGGCAAGTATCAACAAAGATTTTGGAAGGAGAATCAGGTCACGATTAACTAAGTTTTATGGTGATTATCTTAGTGGCAAAAACCATACCCTTGTTTTGGTATTTAACATCCTATGTAACAACCTTAAATTAATGGGTTAATTGTTTTTTACTTCCATGTGATTTCGACTAGAAATACTTTATTTACTTGACGTTTAAAATTATTCATATTATTCCCTTATAGTTATGTACCAAAGTGAAATTGTTACTTTTATCATTCAAGTTAACAAAGAATGTGCTCTAGATGTCTAAAACATATTATGGGCTTTGTTTCTATTATTTTACTCCAAAAGAACATTATTTAAGTACCTAAAATACTATTAATAATATATGGTATAATACCCAAATAAGTAGGGCATCGGTCCCAAATCAAAAAAAAAATATATAAGAAAAACATAAGTGATTTTCAACCCTGAATCAAAACCTCACTTGAGAAAAAAAAAACTTGACATGTTTAATTAAAATGTGTTGGTTTGTTGTCATGTTCCATTAGTTTTATGGTTAATAGTAAATCAGACAAAAAGTTTGATTTTAATGTGGGCATTAAAGTAAGTTATTAATTCTGTTAACGACGTCAATTACTTTACTTTGATACATATCTATAAAGGAGTAATGTACATAATTTTAAATATCAAGTGGGTAAAGTGTTTTTAACTGAAACCACAAGGGGTAAAAAACAATTAACCTTAAATTAATAGCGAGTAAAGTTTTTTTTTCTCAATTAAACGAGGTTTATTCGGAAAAAGAACATAACATCTGTATTTTATCTTGTTTTCAGGTGCAGGCAACTTCTAGTACTGAAAAAAAAAATCAATAATTTGGTAAACGAAGGAAAGATTAAAATGGCAAACCACAATGGTTGACCTCTTATTTTAGACCCCTTGGGGAGCATTTGGATTGTTATCATATATTATCATCAACTTCTACTCAAAACGAAATCTAATTCAATGTTTACAGTTTTAAGTGCCCAATCTTCACTAATATCTGTTTTTGAGATGGTCATGGGCTGTTTTTTGTTCACCACGGTAGGAGCTTCTCGCTGGCCAAGGGAGTTGCCTTCTGCATCAGTTATTACCCTTTTGTGTGTGTGCGTGTGTGTGTGTGTTGGAACAGTAATGAACCGTTATTGACTATGACAAAACTAAAACTGAAGAGGTATCATACTTTCAATGTATAATTCATGGGGCATGCCTGGAGGTGTCAGCAATGAATTACAAATTCTGAAGGGAAGTTCAACTGAATGGTTATAAGTTCTTCCACAATTTTTTTTTTTTTTGGGTAACACGGATTCACCTGTACCACACGCCTCTTACACTCGTAATTACATTGTAAAATCTGGATATACACAATCATTCATAAATGATGACCATCCATTAAATCCAATTTTACAACTAGGAGTATGAGTTTATCCCACCTTCCTGAAAAAGAGTTGGAGCAGACACATCTCACCTTTTCCCTATTCCAAAGCTGAGCTGCACATATTCTGTATAACAATCTCAACAGAGACATCTAATTTAGTGAGCTGCCCTAAAAACACCAGTTGTACATCAATCCAGGACATCAAATTTAGATTTTGGAGATGTATTTCTAGCAATGTAATTCAATTATAACAGATCCTCCCAGAATTCTTTCAGGGAAAATAGGTGTGCAACACATTGAATAATTCAAATCTTGAGAAAGCAAATCCCAAAACAATATCTAAACAGGTGCAACAGCAATTGCAACATACAAATTGGACTCTCAAATACCATTTGATGAATAGGAAAGAAAACATTTACACAAGGTATTTTTATTCGAAAGATACACACCCATACAAGTAACCTTACTAGCCTTCTGAAAATGAGGTAAGCTCTCAAACTAGTAAACCTCAAAGCAGATCAAATCTATTGCTTATCCAATCGGAATGAGAAATCAGTCCAGAGCCTCGTCAGCATCCTGTAAAGCACACTATGACATGATAGGTCACTCCCAGGTTCCAACTTGAATTAAGATTTACATGTTCAATCAAATAGAAACTCGCTTGCAATCCTGCTACACTTGTACAATAATAGATAAACACATAAACGAAAACCTCCAAGCTCCTTCAACACAATGATTGAAACTGCTACTGAACCCTCAATAAGAAGACCAACTGTCGACAAACAATATTTCTACCATTTGGTGTTGAAGATGACAGATAAATGGGCATGTGTCTAAGCATCGACATCAGATGTATCCTTCATCGTCCAATCTCACCCTTACCTTTTGCCTATTTGCAGGCCCTTGTTGAATTTGACCCATGTAACGTGGTTGTGAACCTCTCCCTAACAATCCCCTTGCGTTGTGTGCGTTATCCTCTCTTCTAACTCCCTGCCGGTTTACAGGACGCTTTGATTTTGAGGCGTTCGACTGCTTGGATCCGTTTGTTTCGTAACACAGTGGTTGAAGTCCTTGCAAATCAGGTTCAGGAACATATCCAATTGGACGTTTGGCATCATCCATCCTCCTAAATGTGATAGATATCCTACGGAAGGTAAAATGAAAATGCAAAGGCACATTAAAACAATAAAATATACGTGCAAGCAAAGAGGTAACCATAAATAAGTAGGTTGAACTAGCTTAACTATAAAAACAAAAATATAAAAAAGTTTCAATTGAAACCTTTTAGTAGGAACGGCAGGCACACAATGCTTAGCCAAATCAGCCCCATTTCCATTTAAGACAAGAACAGATCTAGAGAAAAATAAACACAATTAACTATCCCATCAAAAATACATGCAATATCAGAAAATAGAAAGGAAATGGAAGGAAGTTTATAAACACACCATACTTACCCTACTGGCAAGGGAACTGCTATAGAACCAGCAAACTCACCAGCATCCACTATCTTCAAATTTGATCCAAAAACTATATTGCACTCACTAAGAAATGACAAAGTGCAAAAAGGCCTAACAAAATCATGATTGTCAATATGAGGTGGTATGCAGTCCCCTTCTTCATAAATGTTCACAATACAACTGTCGGGTACACAGGTAGGAGGAAGCACATGCCATCTAACCAATCTCTTGATGATAACCTTGAACAGTGAAGGTATAGGATCAACCATTTCATCCTGGAGGATACCTGGGGGATTACCACTTTTATCCTGCCGCCAGAACATTAAAACAGGTTATGTATCTTTTCCATTTAAGCTAGCATACACAAAATTTTTCAGCCCAAAAGTTTATAGGCTGGTAGCCATCATGGTAAGAGAAACTCACAGTTGCATAATTGTAACAGCAACCAAATTGGATTGTAACACGTCCCTTACCCTTCATCCACTTCTGGGGTGCACTAAAAGTGCGCTCTGAAGAAAAATATAAACAGTTAAATGCTATAAGTATTTAAGCCCAATGCTTCCAAATCGAAACTTGAAACGAATCAATAACTAACCTTTCAAAAGGAAAACAAATGAGGAAAACTTCGAACAATTTTGATCCCTTGCATAAAAGTTGAGTTGGATCTTAAACAACTATGATGTTATCTTTATTAGTATAACTTCAAAAACATGTGCATAGTCAGTTCACTGCTTGTCACACATTGAATCAACATCATTTTACTTCTACAATAACCAAATACCGATATGTACACATATGAAAACCACGAAATAAATATCAAGTAGAAGTCTTACTTCAATGACTGAGTTAATAATTAAACCACTTTGTTCTTTTTATGTATAGGTAGGCGAGCAGTGTATCACTTTGATGCGAGCCTCAACTTGTTTTGAGGTCACAAACTGAGGTGAGCTCTTCATAATAATGCTCAGAGAAAAAGGTAACATAAACCACCTTTTTCTTTTGTAAATAGGTAAGCAAGTCCTGTATAACTCACTGAGAGAGAATAAGATAACCTTTCTTTCTTTCTTTTAAAAAGGTGAAATCAAATGAGAATCACTAAATTGTGTAGGTATACTTGAACTCAAAGCCAGGGAAAGAAGGGCACCAAGAAAATTCGCTTAAACAGTTTCATGAAGTAGGTAAACAGCAAACTAGAGAAAAAAGTAGGCTAGACATCTAATCTATAATGATTCTAAGCTTCCATTCAAGCACCACAATCACACCATGTTGGATCTAAACAATGGCAGCTCCAGGAATTATTTCAGTCAAATTACATAAATTCTATTAAAAAAAATCGCACTTCTAAACACCTATAATCAATTTCCAATAAATCGATAAAGTTAATTTAGATACTCAAATCTCAATCCATAAGTAGGAAAAAAAATTAATACTATTTAGCGAGCGAAACATGATTCATGTAATCAACCCCAATATTTGAGACAATGTTTTGTTGAGTTGAGTAAGGATAGCATTGTTGTGACATTAAAACTTGCAAATAAGGGTAAAAGACTAAAGGTATCATATAAAAACTTGTACATACATGAAATTTGGAAATAACTCTATAGTCTTAGACATGCTTTCAAATTTGAAATTGTTGCATAATAATCTGTATCATTGCTATCAAATACATCCTTCTCAAACCAAATAATGATTCATCTACTAGCATTCAATTTGGTTACACAATTGGTTCAAAATAAGTTTCATTGTTGGAAAACATCTTCCCTTTGCAATGCTAGTGACAACTCAATTTGATATCAACATATTGCACTAAATCTATAAGAAAAACAAGTGCTATTTGCTTGGAGTACAGGTCATCCTACTCAACAATATCAACTGCATCAATCATAATAGTGAACTAAGTCACTGAGCTGTAGTGGAGGTAGGAGTGAGAGCATAAAAACGAAAATTTTCAAAAAAAATCTTAGAGAGGGAGGATTTGAGAGTGTCATACTATATACATACATACATATTTACGAATATTAAAGTTAATAAAAATATAATTAAAAAATTATATTGTATACACATATATGATAAATTATTTAAATTTGTTTCACTATTAATTTGGCATATAAAGTGAATGTTTAAACCAAAGGCCGGTAACAACAACAGCCTTTGGAAGGCATTTTGATTCGTTGGACAGTATCCCACATTGAGTAGGCATGAGAAGCTGATGGCAACTCATGCCTATAAGACGTAAGGGCTTTCCGTCTCATAGCTCCTACACATGGGTCCTTAGCTGGAAAGCAAAAGATAAACAACCTTTAGATATTTGGGCTAGCCAAGTGTAAAGTTTTGGGCTTCTAACTTGGACAAGAGTTTAAAATTTTGAATTCTAGAATTTATGCTGAATTCGCTCTTAATTCGTGAATTCACGGTCCAAGCGATGGAGTGTGTGATAGAATGCGAATCATGTAACTAAGACAGTGAATATCATAACCAAGTTCAGAATTGTCCTATAATGTGATTCGAGAGTGTATCACAGCCCTTTAAGACTAATCTTGTTTGTTCAATCCTCAGTATAAGTTTGATATTAGTCTTAATAACGTTAACCAAACCATGTAGTGTAAATATGGTAAGTTGGAAAAGTTGAACATCTGGCTTTGAACCCCTGAGACCAAATTCCTAATTTTTTCCTTCTAAAGCTAGTGGTGTCCATAGAATGCCCACCCTAAATTTCCCAAAATTAAATAAATAAATAAATAATTCAATGAGGACAACTAGCCCCATTAAACTTCATCTGCCGCCGCCCAAGGTATAGAGTTCATCAATTGTACCCATGAGGTAAGAGTGAATCTTGATTCCTAACCAAAGGTTTTATGTCTTCTTCACTGTGTACTAGGAAAAAAGTATAGTCACTCGTTTGAACTCTTTCTCACAGACTTTCAATGATGCACTGTCCTTTTTCCAAGAACTACTATTCAATAACTGGTGTTTTTTTGCCTTCAACTCCTTTAATTTATCAAAACTAATATTCTTATAAACAAAAAATTGGAAATTAACATTTGTGAAATCTGGAACCCTAATACCTCAAGAACAGAACAAACTAGTTGGGTAAAAACATAAAGCAAATTTCCTGCATCCTAGCACACAGGCAGATGGTAGGTCAATCAGGCAGATTTTAAGGTNAACTAGTTGGGTAAAAACATAAAGCAAATTTCCTGCATCCTAGCACACAGGCAGATTTTTTTTTTTTTGGGGGGGGGGTAGGTCAATCAGGCAGATTTTAAGGTAATGAAATTTGTAATAAGCATAAGGCGACCAGAAAAATTTGCTAAAAGGATCGACCTATGGAGGCTTTGCCAGCAGATAAAAGGTTACCGTAGCAAGATTGGGCTGGCTCACACAATCTTGTAACTCCTTTGGTCACTTTTCCCTTCTTTTGCTTCAATACTTTAGAACACTTAGTGGTTTTGAATTATACATTCCTTGACGCACAACCAACATGTGCTGGACATTGATAAAATACTCGGGCATCATAACCCAGAGCACAGTAGAATACTGACACTAACTCACAGAGAGAATCTGGTCAAAAATGAATTCCGTGTATTAAAAATTAGATCCTCATGTGGATTCATTATTATAAATCAAAATCCTCAAACATCTTATAAGTTCACAGTAGTGTTGGTTATCACCAAAACATGGATAAGTTTTGAAGAGATAATTAGTTACGAAATTTTTTGTGCTTTTCTAATCGTTTACCAAATGAATAGTGCAGAATGGTGATAGTTAGAGATTCACAAGGATATTTTATAATATTCTACTGCTACAACCACACTGCTCGATATATTATCTGTGCATGGATATTTGGTGTGGTTTGTTACTGTCCCAGTCCTTGCTACCATGCTTAGACATATCAGGTTCTCAATAAGTTGCAAGGCAATTACTAGAGTTGAAAATTTTCAAGATTTAAAAAAAATCAAGAACAGGGGGGAAGGAGGGTGAATTGCAAACTATTAGAGAAAAGGAGCAGAATTATCTCTACATACATGCTGGAAAATCAGTAACTTTACATTCAGTTTTTCAACATAGGAACCTTATCAAAACCCAGGCCTATAGCATATCATTAAACGATTGAAAACTGCACTCAAGCCTATAAAAGCACATATTTGGATACAGACACGAGCAAAACAAAATCAATTAGCTTGNTAAACGATTGAAAACTGCACTCAAGCCTATAAAAGCACATATTTGGATACAGACACAAGCAAAACAAAATCAATTAACTTGGAAGTTTAAAGAGCACATTAAGCTGTTTAACACAGGGCATTGTATAAACAACAAGCTACAGGATCTTCAAATTGGTAACAGCTTAGTCCAACATAAACACATAAAAAGTCTAGCCCCATGAAGCACAACACATAAAATAACTGGATTGCCCATCGATTAAAATTGACTGGGTACCTTCTTAAGCTTTTCACATTTATTTATTTGAAACCCACCAGAGAATACCGAAAATATAAATCGGACATAAATGTCCTTGATAAACAGTATATAAAAAAGCAAATGGACATATTGTCCAATTTGGAAGAAAGCAACCAACAATGAAACAAATAAGTATCCTATGTCATTGCAAAGAAAGACAAATACATTCAATGCCAAAGAGAAATAATCAATCATCAGTGGGCAACCTATAGTCAAACAAGGTTGATTATGCCCTGTTAACCACGTCCTTTGCCTAGTCTGTGACTCTGTCTATTGCATCAAGATTGCTATTAACAAAGAAAAATTTAAACACAAAAAAATGGCTTTCGAGTGTACATCACAAAATTGCATGGCTTTTATGAACAAGCCGATGAGTGTCCTTCTGAATCACAAAACAGGCCCTTCAAATTTCAACGGCTGGAGATGAAGGACTATAAAGGAACATCAGGTTTACGAATGGGCAGCCCATGTTCTATTTAAAAGAATCCCATCCAGTCCTTACTATTGAACTGACAAATCAGTAGCAAGCTATAGCAATGTCATAGATACAATTTATAAATAACAAAAGTAATCACAACTATAGGATAAGCATTGCATCAGAATTAATTGACTAGAAAAGAAAAAAAATTACTAACCTTTCAATTCTCCTTTCTTTCCCATCTCCTGGAACTCATACACAGATTCAACTATTCTCTTCTGCTCCACTGCGCTGAAAACACCACAGTGTAGCTCAAGCCCCTGGAGTATGTTCACAAATTTCCCATTTATTCTCTCAAAACAAATGAAATCTTTGTTCCTCTTGACTTTATTAAACCGTATATACTCTCTTTGCTCCCTTGGCAACTCCGGTTTTGGCCCAGCCTTCTCTACTGTCGATGCCTTTGCATGCAGAATATTGCCATTAACTAATGGCCTGTTCACTTCCTTCTCTTCCTCTTCTTCTAGCTCATCTTCTTGAGCCATATCAGCCCATGACCTTCTCACCCTTGGACTCTGAGGTACCGGAGAGCCAACCCTTTCGCTTGTCGAGGCCTCAGAAACCGGCTCAGACCATTCGTTTGCATCATCTTTCCAACTACCCAAAGAATTTGTATCCGCTGTATCATTCATGTCCGCATTACCTTTCCAACTCCCGAATGAATTCGTGTCACAATTATCTTGATTGCAATCATATTCATCATATTCTATAGTATTTGGAGGTGAAGCAGTAACATTCTCTTCTTGTTTTACGGGCTCTGCATCACCCTCAGTTTCTAGAGTAATCCCAACAAGATACACATATCAGATAAAACATATACACGCAACCCAACCCTAGAATTCCATCAATTCAGTGTAATAAAACAGAAATCCCAACTCCATGTAAAAATATGGAATCTTTCACAAATTAAATTTCCAATACCGACCAAAATTAACAAACATACAACAACATGCCGCATAAGATACACGCATAAAAACATACATGCGTGTGTGAGAGCGTGAAATCACACACAAATTTTGGGGTTCTGCTTGCATAATTCTAGGGTTAGTGAAGAAGAAAAGTACCTGAGTCGAGGGATCGAATGCGATCGGAGAGGGTATGAGTGCAGTGGCGGCAGAGGCCTCGGGAGAGAAAAGGTAACCAATTGGAGAGAAACTCCGATGCGACTCTGAGATCATTGGCGTCGTAGTTCAGTAGGAAAGGGTCTGTCGTACGAACTCTATGGTCGTCCATGGCGGTTTCTTCGTTGCGAAGCTGAGTAAACTCGGTGTCTCGATGATTGAAGAGACGGCAAAAACGAAGCGAACTTTTTGAGATTCGGATTGTGGTTTGTGAGAAGAGAGAGAAGCTGTGAGCGTTCAAACTGAAAGCGCACAAATGCCGTGGCTATAAAGCCAGAATGGTATGTAAGTGTCCTCGAAGTTTCTTTTCAGGGGTAGATTTGGTAGTATGATTTCTATTACAATTAGAAATAGTATTTTACAGTGTCCTAAACACATAATAAAAATATGGAATAACGCAAATTTAATATTAAGAGAATTTTATTGTAAATAGTATACTTTAGGATATAAATTTTTCGCATAAAGTCACTAATAATAATCATATAATGAATATAAAATTACTCTAGTAGGTTCAAGCGTGTCGATATTTGCAATGTCATGCTTTAAAGTGTTTGTGATTTTATATTCTGAATTACATTTTATCATGGCAAAGGTTTTGGGTAGAGAGGAATGAATTATAATCGGCTCAGAAAAAAAAGGTATGTTTGAGTAAAAGTGGGCTAAGTTTTTGAAATCTTGAAGCTTTCAATCATGAAAGCTAACCAAGAATTCAAAGTCACTGGTCTACAAAATATTACAAGCTAAATACTTTCTAACAGCGATGTTTATGGATGTTAATCTAGGAGCTAACCCGTCCTTCAAATGGAGGAGCTTAATTAAAGTACTGGGTGCGGGTTGTCTGTGGCAACTTAAAAATGGTCAAAGTATTAAAGTGAAGACAGACAAATGGATACGATTTTTTTTTTTTTTAAATGAAATGTTTGGAGTCTGAAGTTGAAATAATTATGGCAATTCCCATCAGTTCACATTATCTTGAGGATAAAATTAAAAGTGCTTATTATTTTGTCATGGACCCAAGCTTGCATCGAATAAAAAAAAAGTGACATTGCTGAATAACAAGGTTAAGTAATTCCTTTTGTTCTAGGAGGAGAGTGACGCTATGATACCACCCACGCAAATTGGTTCAATAGTTGAACAATTAACGCATTGTATGTCAGCATATCCTGAACTCGAGTTTTTTTATCGCATAAAAATTTGTGCTAAACTGAGGTGCGTGCATGTGTCCGATGCAAATATCAAAAAAAAAGATATGTCCATCATAAACAAATGATTTGACTTTGGTGATGTGGCACAGCATTATGGGCAAACCCACCACAGAAATGTGGCCGCTCCCACACCGGATTAAAGGACATAAGGATGAAATAGATAAGAAAAACTATCCACTGGCTGCTTGCTCCAGCCAAAAAAAACCACAGCAATGAACACCACCATCTTCCCTCTCATAAAACCTTTCACCACAACCCCTACTCAGCTCCCCCGGACTTCCCGACACCGCCCTCTCCTACCACTCCACCTCAGCCCCATCAAAAGTAGTAGCGACAACGGAAACAATACCGCAACTGACGACGTTGGAAACCCATCACCGCCAGTCCCACCACCGGTAAATGCAGCGGCAATCCGTTTCAGAAGAGGGTCGAGGAAAAGAAAACAACTTCAGGAAGATGGTGCTGCAAATGGACTGCCCAAGCAGGCACAGGCTTCAACTCCTAAAGACTGGGAATCCATGACCCTCTCGGAAAAGGCCATGGAGCTGTACGTGGGAGAAAAGGGTCTGTTGTTCTGGCTCAACAAGTTGGCTTATGCCTCGATCTTCATTGTGATCGGCGGTTGGATACTGTTCCGGTTTGTCGGTCCCTCACTCAACCTGTACCAGCTGGATTCTGCTCCCCTCTCTCCTACCACCATATTTAAGGGTTCATGACTAAACCTCCACATAATTTATGGAGGCAAAGGGGTGTTTCTGCACAGAACAAGGAGGTTGATGGAGCTGCGAGAGAGAGAGAGTGATGAAACGTTTTGTTCTTCTATGTTTTGTCAACTGTTGTGACACTGGGTGTAATGTGGTGCCACCTAGAGTTGTAAAATAAAGTAAATAAAACTGAGAATTAGTTCAAGGAAGTAAATCTGTACATTGCAAGTCCAGAATCTCTTCATTCCAGCTTCGATTCACCCATAAACGAGTACAATTCCTGATAGTAATGATGAGGTTTTTCATGATTATGAAGATGAAACAATGCGCAAGCAACATTTAAAGAAATTTCAGCGGGATTACAAATGACTACTGATGCTGGAATAGCACCTTTAATATTGAAACCTAACTCACTCACGCACCAAAAAACCGATAAGCTGTCAATTACATTCATGAGATTGAATAGCCATTGCAACTGTCTTCCAGAATTACTAAAGGGACATTAAATGCATCGTAGCAAACCTCATTTCTCCCAGCCAATTAAAAAATACCAAATCAAATATTCAGCAAATTCTCAAGACAGGTAAAAGCTATATCACAATAAAGCCTTCACAACTTCTATGCAGCGGTAACTGGCGGAGCAAGCACCTCCCTCTGAGTCTTGCACCTGTAAATACAAAGATTTCAACAGTCAACCCAAGTTACAGTCACAACATGGAGAAGGGGTAGAAGAATATCTATGGATAGAAATTTTCTCTTATCTTTTCTTTAGACAATCTGAGTATCTTAACAGTTGGTCCAAGTACTTTCTATCAGTTTTATCATCCTTAGAAATTCAAAATAAACTAGGTACTGCCTTATGGTGAAGTGACAAAACAACAATAGATGTGAATCATTTCAACAGAATTTATAATGCTTCAAACATGGAGACACCAGTAAAAGCAATTATTATTTTTGTTACTATGAAGCTGCATGCAAATTGTTGGAAGAAATACCAGAGGTTCGGCATGAAGTAAGTTCTCAATATACTAACCTATTACATTGCGATCGAGAAGCATAGTTGTGATTGTTACAATTCGTGCACATCCAATCCCCGTCACGCCATTGCTTTGCTCTGCTAGGTCACAATGGTGAAAATTTTACATCTTAATTGCAATACTTCATTGACATACAACATGGTTGGATGCTTGACTGATGAATTCATAAATAGTTGTCTATCAGAAAGCATGACAGTGTGCGCGTGTTTTTTACAGTATTCACAGTACATAAATTTGGTGAAAGATCTCTCTTTTGCTCCAAGTTTTTCCAAGATAAATAAAAAATAAAATCTTGCTAGTTGAATACAAAATTGAAGTTTATTTATGCCCCATGGAAAAAAATCTAACTTATCCTAATTGCTGGTAGTTCATTTCGAGGAGGAAAGCAGTTCAGTTTTTTTACCCTTTACCAAGGAGTGTAGGAGCTGCTGGTAGTGGTGGGAGCTGCAGGTTGACTTGCAAGTTTGAAGCCACCGCTGAGTTTCCACTGAGATATGGCGGGTACAAACCAGCTGTTTGATTTCCAACAGAGCCAAATATTTGCTCAACTCCTGGGTAGGCTTGTTGCAGCCCAAGTGTCTGCACAAATTGGGGGGTGGGGCATGCCAGAAAAGGAATGTGTCAACCCAGATCAACTAAAGGACCTGAAACTCAATAGCAGAAAAAGGTTTCTCACCTGTCCTGCATTCAGTCTCTTATTATCCCATTCATGAACGAATTCTTCAGAAGCCAATCGTTTAGTTCCAATAGCTTCAACAGGGGATAAAAAAAAAAAAAAAACAAAAAAAGTATATCAGACAGAGGCACAGCTTATGGAACTCCCTGTCTACATTCTAAAAAAGAGTAGTGCATTTGGTGTTTTAGCAGGCTTGGACATTCATACATGCACTATTCATCAAAAGACAAAGCCTTGACCGATTACACATGGAAACAAAAAAAGCTTAACAACCACCATAGGATGAATTTAGCCACATATTCTACAACAATACAACTTTCGCAAAATAAATCCTGGGAAGATCACTTTTTTTTGGCTCAATATTCTCGGTAGATGGTAATTTCATCAATTCAACCAACAAAAGAGTCAGGACTACACAATCATCTCAAACCAAGTTTAGAAAGTCCTAATCCATATGCTTCCCAAGCAACTAAAAACAATGTTGTACAGTCATAGACAAGAACAAACCAGTAATATGGGGTGGATATTGAAATCACATATTCGGCTGAAAACTGTCTCAAGCATATTTGGTTCAAATCCTCCGACCAAAATAACTACCTTCAAAAATACTATGAGTCACAAACCTGTAACTGTTGTGCTAACCACAGATGAGGCTGTATTTGGTGGCATAGAAGCATTGCATTTTTTGCACTGCAAATACAATAGAAGCCAAGTCAGGTGCATGATCATCACAAAGAAATTAATCATTGTCAGAATCAAAAAAAAATTGTCAGGTAAAAAGAATGTGCAACTCATGAATTTTTTTGTAACAATGTCATGCCTGAGCACGAGAAGAGTAGTTGTGGAAGCCACAGGTGCAGATCCAGTCACCACTACGCCATCCTTTTGGAACCATCAGAAGTTGATTTGATTGGTTTGCATATGGAACAGTGGAATGGTGGTCCACACCTGGAGGCCAAGTAGAAGTTGGCTGAACTCCATACCTATCCGCAGGCTGAAATCCATATGTATCAGCCCCTCCTAAGGACCAGTTAGAACTCAAAGGTAGTGACTGCTGGAGTACTCCACTGCCTACTAATCCAGGACTCATCGTTTGTTCCAGAAGTCCTTGTGCCCTGGTAAAATAATGTGGATGAGTTGGGAGAGAAGCTCCAGGCATTGCAACTGCTGGCATTGCTGCTACCTCCTTCGGTTGGCCGCACTTTTTGCACTTCTCTCTTGACGCATAATTGTTGTTAGTGCAACCTATTGATCCATTGCCACACACACCCGACACACAAGGCAGCCAGGAAGAGGAAAACGAAGCCAACAAAACGCACACCAACCCGCCCACGCAAGACCAATATACACACACAAAAAACACAAACCACTTAACCTAGTTGGAAGTTTTTAATCTCAACTATAAAATAAAAATACAATGAATAGGCAAACTACAAATACTAAACCAAAGGTTCTGAGACATTCAATCAAAAATTTAAATCTAAATGGATGAAACCTATCAGTACGAACTCTATATCAAAAATACTGTCCCTCCAATAATAAATATCTGGTAAGTAATACCCTCAAACTATCAATAGCCATTTCAGAGAACGATTGGATTCCATGTGGGTATCCAGTAAGTCTGTATCTACTACTGATGAGTGATAACCACCCCTAAAAAGTCTATATCATGTTTACAAATGAGACCATCTTACCCAATCAAAGCTACTTGGCCCCAAACTTCATGTTTCACATCACTCACTGCTCATGATAGCTCCTCACGTTAATACAACTAGTTCAAAGGTCAAGTGGCCCTTCTCTCATTCTTGCGTGTACTCAATTCTGGTCAGCATTAATCAAGCACCTTCCTCGTATCAATGGGTTTTGGTGAAAGCCACACCCACGTTTTTATCTGGTTGATAAAATATCAACCAATGCAAACTACAGCAGGTAAATAGTTCAGATTTCAGATAACTATACTCGAGTTCAAAACTAAACTAAAAATCTACTAGTTCCCACCAATCATATTCCCTCGACCATAACCAACCCTAGTTGAGTATGTATCACGATTGTCGTGGAAATCCCCTATCGAAATAACAGGCACAATATTACCAAAAGCAACATGCAATGATAAAACAGCAAATACAGTGTCAGAAGAGCAGCTAAAAAAGCCTTGGCAATGACAATTTCAGGAAGGCTATGAATCTTGGAAGCACATGCCAAAAAAAAAAAAAAAAACCCTACTCCAAACCCAAATCTATGAAGTCCTACCCCCAAACTATCCCTGCAAATTTCAATTGACTTTCTAGGGTTTACGAGTGTAGCAAGCGCTCTTTAGCCTTAAAAACCTCCGACTGACTAACTTTCACACCAATATGATTAATAAATTAACACGAACACCTTAAATCACCAGTCGCTAACTCCAGTATTGATGAATTTCAAAAAATTAAACAATCTACAAACACATAACTTTCCATACGTGCATTTCCATAGAGAGAGAGAGAGAGAGAAAGAGAGAAGGGGATGATTTATTGTACCAGCACAGATCCAATCACCAATACGGGGGAGCCATTTGGAATCGGCGGGGGTTTTAGTGTCAACAAGAAGACGAGGCTGCTTACACCTGTTGCAGAAGGATCTGAAAGCGTAGTTTCTGTTCCCACAGCCACTGCACTCCCAATCCCCTTCTCTCCCGCCTCCTCCTCCCATCTTTCTCTCTCTCTCTCTCTCTCTCTCTCTCTCTCTCTACAAATCTCTCTCTCTATATATATACGAAAATCGTATCAGGTCAGTCTTCTTCTTCTTTCTTCTTTCTTCTTCTGCTTCTACGCCGATACAGAGCGGCGCTATGGATCCGTTGCCCTGTTTTTATATCAAAGTCATCAATTTGTGAGTATAAAATTGACGGAAGACCCAACTGGGAGGCCCTTTCCCCTGAATTCCCTATTAATGCTTTTTAATCTTTTTGAAAATAAAAATAAAAAGATTGCCGGTTTGAAATTATATAGCATAAAATATAAATGCAGTCTTATTGTTTTTTATCGTAATGAATTAAGCTGCTAAGTCTTTTAAATAAATAGACTAATAAAAAATTGATATAATATAAAATAAAATAAAATAAATTTTAATAAGTTCATCTAACGGTTTCGAATAGATTTATCCAACGGCCACCAATATTATTTTCAAAATCATTCACATTGTACCGTGCATTCAGCTACGGATTCTCCCTAATATATTATATTAACGGGCGTACTATGCGATGCATTGAATTTATCTCCCNTAAAAAATTGATATAATATAAAATAAAATAAAATAAATTTTAATAAGTTCATCTAATGGTTTCGAATAGATTTATCCAACGGTCACCAATATTATTTTTAAAATCATTCACATTGTACCGTGCATTCAGGTACGGATTCTCCCTAATATATTATATTAACGGGCGTACTATGCGATGCATTGAATTTATCTCCCCAATTTGATCTCTTTTTAACCCTTATATTATTAAAAAAATTATTTATTAATAAATTAAAATAATATTTATTAAATATAAAAAAGATGATGACAATTTAAATTTAAAATAATTTTTAAAAATAGTGAAAATAGTATTCAAAAAAAGGAGGAAGTATAATTAAATATTTTAAATTTTTAAAAATTAAATATTTGGAAAAGGAAGACCTCTCACCCCAAAACTATATGTGTATATATATAGATGACTTTAGATATAAATGACTTATGCATAATATAAACTCAATGTGACACAATTTAGATTGCATATGATTATATGAATTGAGTACAAACTAAATAAATTTTAACACCATAAGACTTAAATAAGACATCAACCCAATATAACAATATATCTAATATTAATCTTAAAAAAAATTTGGAAATTCGGCCGCATGTCATTTTCTTTTTTTCTTACGGAATGTAGGAATTAAAGTTAGGCATTGGCTTTATATGGGGGATATATTTTTTAGATTTTCCCATTTTTTGGCCCTACTTTTTTTATTGAAATACACTATCTAATAACCACCACTCAAACTGTTAGACCTTAAAGTCGCGAATTCAAACTTTGTCGTTTCTTCCCCACAAAAAAACAAATAAATTATTTGCATCTAATTTTTGACCTAAGTTCCCTGCTATTTTCAACAACCCTACCTTAAAGATGATCCGGGCAATGCAAATCTTTCTTCTGAAATGCAAATGTTGATGAACTGATCNCTGCTATTTTCAACAACCCTACCTTAAAGATGATCCGGGCAATGCAAATCTTTCTTCTGAAATGCAAATGTTGATGAACTGATCATGATGCAATAAGATGAATCCATGCTTCCATGCAATCACAAGGACTGAACACTACTGCGATGGCTCATTGCAGTCTCCTAAAAATATCTGCTCACAAAATTTAAGGCACCAACTTAGACATGCGGTTGCAAGAACACACNCAGTCTCCTAAAAATATCTGCTCACAAAATTTAAGGCACCAACTTAGACATGCGGGTTGCAGGAACACACTGAAGAAACAAATTTTGGCTTGACAAGAGCAGCAGACAGTTGATCAGCTCCTATTTTTGAACCAGTTCTTGAACCCGGGATTGCAATGACTTTAATTGTTCAATTGTTACATTAATGGGGGNCAGTTGATCAGCTCCTATTTTTGAACCAGTTCTCGAACCCGGGATTGCAATGACTTTAATTGTTCAATTGTTACATTAATGGGGGGCTTTCTGAGAATTGATCAAGTGGAAACAGAGGGAACAAGAGTTCCATTGATTCTTCTATCACAAATTAAGGAAAACTGAATCAAAAAGGGGTCCGTCGAGCTTCAAAGGAGTAGCCTGTCATCAGCTTAGAACTCCTGTCCCTCTCCTCATTCAAAGCCTAAACCCAAGACTAAAACTCATGCCAGGAAAGAATATCAATTACCACTGCGAGCGTCTTTCCTTACAACAGTAAAACTAGATGACCACACATCATATAAGTGTATGTACAAACAGAAACCCACTTGAAGACTGAATACAGTTCAAGAGTTTTGAATCAAAATCCACCAAAAAGTAACAAAAATACCAAAAGATAATTTTGACCATAGACTGCTTGCTTCACTGTGTAGACCCTGCATCATGCACCACTGGAGAGCATGGCCTTCAGCCAAGACAACCGTTTCTCACTTTTCAATGACATAAAAGTTTTTCTCCAGGTTAGGTCTCGGAACAAATCCATAGCAGCACTATAAAGGCGCCGATCAACCCCTTGCATCCCATTTATAGCAGTAATGCAACAACAATAAGAATATGGATCGTTATTTTGAGTCACTGCAGTTTGGTTTGATCCTGAAGCAGTTCCAATCCCCAAAATCACACCTGCTTTTCTGTTACCACAACCTATCTTGTTTCTCTTGTTGGGACCTGAACTTGGTGCCTCCGCAAACTGTCTTTTGGTCCGCCTGTTAGAAATATTAACATTCTCCCTTGAGCACAAAATGTTGTTGTTGTGAGACCGATAGCCCCCTACGCCAAAGGCATATTCTCCAGTGGCCCTTGGTCGGGTGAAGATAGTGCATAAATCATTGTATGTTGGGCAGCCATATTTTCGATATGGCATAATCTTGGGATGTGCCTAAAAGAGTAACATATGAGGTACAATGCATCGAGTATTTTTCGATGAGGAACAGTTAAAGGAAGATGTTGTAAGGACACTATAAAATTCAAAATGAAGTATGATGTGTGACAGTATATTTTGCGGCATAAGAACCGTTATAGTATAGTCTTAAGTCATATAATGTTACACAGCCAATTGCTATGAGTCATTGTATGTGGTGAACAGTTAAATTATGTCTTAGTGATTGGTCAACACTCAATTCTCACCTTTTTCTTTTCCTTTTATCTCTCTTGGGCCATGACTAACGTCACCTCCCTACAGCCTGAAGTAGGCATATGTTACACGAGACGTCACTTGGAAATTCGACACTTGTGACATAGAATAGATGAGGATAAGTCCAATAACTAAGATAACAGATCACTTTTCTTATGGGACGTATGCAGACTGCATGCAGATATATTCATTTAAAATTGGAGAAAACTTCAACTGACATAATACAATTCAATTTAAACTCAGAAAACCAATTCAAAGTACCAGTAAATAAGAATAATGTACCTCTATGTATTCTGCCCACCAAAGATCATCAAAATCAACCATCTGACAATGATAATCCCAACCAAGTCCACCTTGGTTATAAAGTTGTTTCACGATGCAATACCGTTTACGCAACACACCTAGATGTTTCTTCAATTCCATCTAGTTCTTGCCACTCATTTCGTTGAAGTCTTTGCATACACGATCCCATGATTCATCTTTAAAGCCACTGGGAATTATACCCAAAAGGTTCTTCATTTCCTCAATCAACGATTCTACAAAAATCTTCTCTAGGTGGGGAGGCCAATTTGGACGTGACCAGACATCCTCTGACAGATCTTGGCTGGGCTGGTTGATCATGTACATTATGCAGGGATATAAATATGGGCAGGGATCTCTAAGCAACCATCCAAATAATGCAGGACAATATGCAAATGCAAACAGAATATGACTTCAGTGTCACTTCATGTGTATACCTTCCAAACTACAAACAAAAACTCATACCATGTTTAGGAAAAAACTAAAGTATCACTGAATTTAAAAAAAAAATGTTAGTATGTCCAAGCCCCTAATAAGCATATAAAATGAAATTGAATCTACGAATAATCCAAGGCAAGACATCAAATAATAGGTGGTGTAAGCACCAAGAACAGAATTTCAACAAGTAGGATTATATATTCCCAATAATAGTTGGCAGATGATATATGTGAGCTTGTGGATGCAAAATAGACCAATCAATTTATTTTGCTGCCAAAATTGTGAACTTCTTGCACAGTAGTTTAACTTTGGCATTCCAACAAATGGTAAATATAGTGTCAAATGTAATCTTTTCATATTCACATGCGCAATTTCAATTGTTATGCTCGACAGATGCCAAAAGTACACTGACAATGCACAGATTATTACTATTGCTCCATGTAAAATACAGTCAGCCCCGCCAAACCAACATACACCATAAGCGAAAAGCATGCAAACAGTCATTTATGATCTCTTATGGCTATATGCATTACATGGCTCACTAATAAAAAAGTAACCTACCACAACACTTGAAGGGTTATCCCAAAGGAGATTCACAAAGAGAAAAAGCTTAGACATCCAAAATTTCTAAGCCACCAAACTGCCTAAGTTAATTTTACTTCAACAGTCAATTTTGTTTGAATATGGCAATCTCCAATTTTTCTGACAGCCTAAAACTCTCTAGTCACATGATCTTGGCCAATACAAATGCATACACAATGACCATTTTGCTAGACTGTAAGACAATTAAATACTGTTACACATTCATTGCATGTTATAAATTGTTAATTTGTCTCTTCAAAAGGAATGGTTTCTCAATAATTTTACTACCATCATCTTTGTTTTTGAGACATGGCTTGGCAAATCAACACTTTGACATAAAATAAATGTGCAATATTTTAACAACTGAAATCACAGATCATTCTTTTGGTACACAAGCAGACTATATCAATATACTAAAAACTGATTGGAAATCACTTCAACATATATTTATACCCACACTTACAACTCCATTTAAAAAGTATCAATATATACATAATCTGTGAATGGTATAAGCACATTGTACATATGACAATTCCTCAATCAAAATAATATAACCAAACAGAGACGAATATTACTCAAGGGCTTTAACCATAACATGGTATCCAATTAGTTTAAATCCCTTCATTAGTCTTTTTCCTCTTTTCCCCTGATATGGGGAATTGATTACAACTTTTCTTTTAATAAACAATAACCCATCCCAGGGAGAAAGAGGGTGGAAGACTCGACTCCAGTCCACAACTGATGGCAAATCGAGATGGCCCAAGCGCCACTATTTCATCCCTTGTACTCCAACCATCAAATAACTTCAATTACATCAAATTATAGCCTATGGAGTTCTTTAAAACTACCAAATTAAAAAGGAAGTACTAACTAATAGTTGCACAAATCGTGAGTCAATCACAAAATCTGGCATTATCAAACTCAGATGTACAGTCTTAGGCTCACCAATAAGCTTTTACAGCCTGCTAGCAATCAAACAATTGCCTCTTTACTTATTTACCAGTAACAAATTTTAAAAAATGCTCGACATAAATCAGAAATCTTGAAGATCCCAGTCTCTAATATATTAAGCACTTGCTACAGAATTATGAGTGTGTGTGTGTGTGTGTGTTTGAAACTCATTGTACTTATGCTCAATCAGAATCATTGTGTATAAACTCATGTTTCAGAAACTTAAAAAAAATGGCAGGCCAAAGGTTGCTTTGCTTGAACAAAATTCAGTGCTTCAATGTCGTTATATATAAACATAATGTACATATAAAAAGTATACGTTTATCAATATTTGTGTATATGTATGTGAAAGAATGTTGTAACAAAACCGTGTTCGGATTAATGGGAGATGGAGGACGAAAATCGAAACTCACTGTCAATAGAATTAACAAACCCTAACCTTGTGGCTCAGAAGAAGGGGATGATCATCACACAACTCAAAAACTGAAGCTTCAATTTAGGACAAGATTGATTTAGCATGTGGAAGAAGTGAACGATTTAAAAAAGAGTTTTAGGTGGGATGGGGACCCGCCAATAGCAACACGGGAAATTTAAGAATTTTTATTTTGCAGTTTTTTCATAATGCATCTTGATTGTATTAAAAGTTATTATTGGACACTCCCTGTGATGCATAGAATTTATTATCTTTTCCTATTATCATCTTGTTATCAAATTTTTCGTAATCGTAATATCAATGAACAATTTCTACTNATATATATATATATATATATATATAAATATATATTTTATCATTATATTTTTTATATAAAATTAATATATACATAATATATAAACAAATAAAATACATTTCAACATAAATATTTAATTTTTCATCCATTTTTCTTTCGATTTTATAGAGATTGATTTTGGTGAGTTAGAAAAAAAATTAATTTATTCACTTTTTTATCTTTTTTATTTTTTTTATCAAATATAATATTTTTTTTATCCCTATAATTTTGCGTTTTTTCAACCTTTCATTTTTTTATTTTTTTATCCTAACAAACGAAACATAAGTTAAGCATCGAAAAAAGGAATTGACATTATCTTGCCACATGTTCAACTTCATTATCATACTGTGTACAATGCTGGTCCAGTGTGGGCATTGAGAAAAGAATTTCACATTATGTACGTACGCTGCCAACCAGCTCACCACCTTGTCTTCTACTTCAGCCTAAAGAGTCCATAATAAACACGGGGGAGACTATGGTACCGCCCTCACTTTTTTCGGTACGGTACGACACGTGCAGCTTCTAGCAATATTCCGTACCATTCATTGAGAGAAAAGACGAGTGATTTGTATGGGTAACACTATTATACCGCCAAACTAATTTTTGATATCATATCAAAAAGTAGTTTAATCTGTATAAGTGACATGTGTTTTTTTTAAATTTATTAAAATCAATGTAACTGATTATTTTTGATAGTAACTATAAAACATGTAATTAATTAAAACAGTTATAATTAACCAAAAATTATACCGTATTCAATTCAATTGTAATCCATCTATTAAACTTGTACCGAATAGAGTTGTACCCGATAACCCAATTATTAATATCAGTTATATATTTAAGGAAAAATTATTTTACTTTTACTTTGCCTATGTATTTTATTAGGGGCGTCAATTTTTTGACTCGAACTGAACCTGACACGAATCCAGAAGTTACATTCATTGACACAAGTAATAAATGAGTACTGTAAATAAAAAATAATTATTTAATGAGTATTTTAGATAAAAAAATAAGAATTTTATAATTTTTTAAATAGTATTATATTAATCATTGTCTAATTAAATAATTTTTTATTAACCCGACTGAAAGTGACACGACACGAAACCAATACCACACCCCTATATTTTATCTTCAAAAAAAATAATAGTTGTGGAATAAAAATATTAGTTGAAAGAACAAAATAAAAATATTGTTATACTTCATGGGTGTAAGTGTAATTTAATTAAGACTGATCCTGGGAATGGAAGACCGATCCTGTATTACATATTACACTTTTATCATTTAATATTATACTTTTAACCTTTTAATAATATAATTCATCAAATTAACATCTAAAATCATTCAATAAATATTCAATTTATCACATCAATATCAAACATGCAATTTCATCCAATTAAAACTCAATTCATCAAATTTATACAAAATTAACATTCAAATTTTCAAATCAACATTTAATTTTACCTAATAAACATATAATTCATTAAATTAACATTAAAATTCAACAAATAAACATTTAATTCGTAACATTCAATCTCATCTAGTTTATATTCAAATTCATTCAATTTATAGAATTAACATCGAAAATCCTTAAAAAAAGATTTTTTTTTTTTTTTTTGGAAAGTAAATTGTATTAACAAAGAACCAAGTATACAAGGGGAACACCCAAAAAGCCAAACCCGCAAAACACAAGTCTGTAGGATGCCCGAATTGAAGGTATCCTTCATATGCAATCCAGAAGAAATGAACCAGTTGGGTCAAAACCCCAACTACAACAGTAAGATGAAGAGGCTCCAAATAGGAATTAAATCACCCCAATGTAGCCCAGCAAGCCAATCAACAGTCAGCATAAGAAGCTGCATTGGGGAACAAACAGTAGGGACATCCTCTCCAACATAAGCCAGATGCAGGGAAGCAAGAGAGGAAGAGTCATCCATCAACATAATATCATTTATACCCCATGGTCCAATTTTTTTATTTCCTTCCCTTTGATTGTCTTCAGACAATCCTTGTTTATAATGAAAACATGCATCGATTAGATCATTTGAATAAAAAATAAGATCAACACTAATAATTTAGCCTTTAGATTAAAAAAAATCTCCCACTAGTAAAAAAATCAGGAGGTTGTTGGGCGAGATAACTTAATATCTTCAGCTGCAACTTCATGTTCTCTTCACCATAATAGCTTCAGCTTCATGTTCCTTTTTCACCTTTAAACATAAAATAAACCATTAACCACAGAAATGACTTCACCATATAAATTACGTTATTAACTACAAAAAAATTATTCACTTACATTATATTTGAACGAGTGGATCACCAATAGAGGATTATCAAGTTCAACCCAAAAAAAAATAATGGAGTTTTACAGTACTCGTTCTTGTTGAAGGCGATACAAAACCTAAACCAAACAAACAAATAATTTTTGTACGGTTAAAGAGATGGAGGGAAGGCAAGAGGAGTAATGGAGGGAAGGCAAGAGGAGTAATAGTTTTTAGGCGGGAAAGTGGTTGGAAGGAGAGATAAGGTTTTTGTAATTTGTGGAGCACAATATTCGGTTAGAAAAAAAATTAATATATTCTAATATGTGGG